AAGTCTAGATCCCCTTATTGAGATTGAAAGAGTTCAGGCTAGGTTGTGCACCCCCCACTTGATACTAAATTTGACATTTAAACTGTGCCTCTTCTCAGCTAAAATTACTTAAGCTTGTTAGACATTAAACTGTGGTATGTGGCCATGCAATTGAAATCAGCCTTAGTCGTCATTTAAAAGGAAGTAGTTATTGTTTCTTAACCTTTGTCAAACAAGAGCAGCTACATTTTGGTGATAATGTGGACTTTGTATTATAAGAACACATTATGTAATAAAAGCATAATACATGACTGTTGATTTAAATAGTCAGAACCTCAGTGATTTTCTTGATTTTTTTTTTAAATTACCTTAAGCAATCCAATTATCTTATGAACGACTTCTTTTGGTTCATTCATTGATACAGAAATTATTATCCTAAATGGCCAAGAAAAATTAGAATCCAGAGTTCTTGTTGCAGAGCTTTGTGCTCAGTCCACTAGGTCAGTTTCAACCTGTGTCACCAAATGTGGAGACGAGCTTGTTGAATTAATTAAGCACCATGTAAATGTTAAACTACAGGAGGAACAGAGTGTAAAAATTCCTGGGTAAAAATGATCTCTTGTCTTCATTAGCATTTAGTACAAAAAAGGTGGAGGTATGTGTTTTATCTCTTATGTTAGTAAACTTATTGAAGGTAATAATCAGATTTATTCAAGTTTATATTTTTATTTTTATTCTTTGAGTCTGTATCTCACTCTGTTGTCCAGGCTGGTATTTTTATTTTTTTTCTTTGAGTCTGAGTCTCACTCTGTTGTCCAGGCTGGCGTGCAGTGGCATACTCATGTCCACCACAGCCTTGACCTGCTGGGCTCAGGTGATCCTTCTACCTTAGCCTTCCAAGTAGCTGGAACTACAGGCATTGGCCAACATGCCTGGCTACTTTTTTGATTTACTGTAGACACGAGATCTCGCCAGGTTGCCCAGGCTGGTCTTGAACCCCTGGACTCAGGCAATCCTCTCACCTCTGGCTCCCAAAGTGCTGGGATTACAGGTGTGAACCACTGTTCCTGGCTATATTATGTTTTTAAATATTTTTTATCTGGAAATAATTTCAAACTTAAAAGCTACAAGAAGCCGGGCTCAGTGGCTCAGCCTGTAATCCCGCGCCTTTGGGAGGCTGAGGTGAATGGATTGCCTGAGCCCGCGGGTTCAAGATCTGCCTGGGCAGCGAGACCTCATCTCTACAATAAATCAAAAAATCAGCCAGGTGTGGTAGCGCATGCCTGTAATTCCGGCTACTTGGAAGGCTGAGGTGGAAGGATCGCTAGAGCCCAGCAGCTCGAGGTTGCGGTGGCAAGGAGCGGCCACTGCACTCCAGTCTGGGCGACAGAGTGAGACTCCAACTCAAAAATAAAATAAAATAAAATAAAAGCTACAAGAATAGTAGAAAGGCAATTTTTGCTCTGATATCCAGATTCACAATTATTAACATTTTGGCACATACTATAGCATACATTTTCCATAACAAGGATATTCACAGATCAAAATCAAGCATTGTAGCCAGGCTCGGTGGCTCAGCCTGTAATCCTGCGCCTTTGGGAGGCTGAGGTGAGTGG